AGAGTACTAAATCCACCAATTAATACAGAAATATAAATAAATCAATTTAAAAATAAACGTAAACGTAAACGTTGAGTGTTATTTCTACACTCCACTGTATCTTTTGTATCTTGTGTTTTTGTTGTTGTTTGGTTATCCGTATTAAAGTCGTAGTGTTGTATTTCTTGTTGTTAAGAACGTTGTAGCGAATGCACTTTTGCGCAAGCTTTTTAACATGTACGTTTGTGCATGTCCATTCGAGCGAGTGTGTTTGTGCACGTTTGTTGATTTGTATTAATGTCCTAGGATTGTAGTTTGTGTTTTCATGATCCTTTTTGCGAATGCAGTTTTGCGTGTGTAATTTTGTGCATGATTTTGTACTTTTACTTATGTGCGTATCTTTTGTAGCGAGTGTTTTTGTGCACGTTTCTTGATGCGCATTCGTGTCCTCGAACTGTAGCGGGTATTTTCACGATCGCTGTTGGAATCCAATTTTGACCATGTTCGAGTCCGAATTTGGAAATTTGACATTAGACAGGAATTGTAGCCAGCTGAAATAGCTTTCTAATGCCGCCGGAACCAGTCGATTTGGAGTCCGGATGAGAAAGTTATGCTCGACTTCGTGGACACTACCGAAGATGTTGCAGGATCCTCTCTTCTAATTTGATTTTATTTTCCTAATTGCAACTCTTTTCTTACTCTTTGATCATTTTTGCTTCATGGACACCTAATTATAAATTTGTACCTATAGAGTACTAAATCCACCAATTAATACAGAAATATAAATAAATCAATAAAAAAATAAACGTAAACGTAAACGTTGAGTGTTATTTCTACACTCCACTGTATCTTTTGTATCTTGTGTTTTCGTTGTTGTTTGGTTATGCGTATTAAAGTCCTATTGTTGTATTTCGTGTTTTTAAGAACGTTGTAGCGAATGCACTTTTGCGCATGTTTTTTAACATGTACGTTTGTGCATGTCCATTCGAGCGAGTGTGTTTGTGCACGTTTGTTGATTTGTATTAATGTCCTAGGATTGTAGTTTGTGTTTTCATGATCCTTTTTGCGAATGCAGTTTTGCGTGTGTAATTTTGTGCATGATTTTGTACTTTTAGTTATCTGTGTATCTTTTGTAGCGAGTGTTTTTGTGCACGTTTCTTGATGCGCATTCGTGTCCTCGAACTGTAGCGGGTATTTTCACGATCGCTGTTGGAATCCAATTTTGACCATGTTCGAGTCCGAATTTGGAAATTTGACATTAGACAGGAATTGTAGCCAGCTGAAATAGCTTTCTAATGCCGCCAGAACCAGTCGATTTGGAGTCCGGATGAGAAAGTTATGCTCGACTTCGTGGACACTACCGAAGATGTTGCGGGATCCTCTCTTCTAATTTGATTTTATTTCCCTAATTGCAACTCTTTTCTTACTCTTTCATCATTTTTGCTTCATGGACACCTAATTATCAATTTGTACCTATAGAATACTAAATCCACCAATTAAAACAGAAATATAAATAAATCAATAAAAAAATAAACGTAAACGTAAACGTTGAGTGTTATTTCTACACTCCACTGTATCTTTTGTATCTTGTGTATTTGTTGTAGTTTGGTTATGCGTATTAAAGTCCTAGTGTTGTATTTCGTGTTTTTAAGAACGTTGTAGCGAATGCACTTTTGCGCATGTTTTTTAACATGTACGTTTGTGCATGTCCATTCGAGCGAGTGTGTTTGTGCATGTTTGTTGATTTGTATTAATGTCCTAGGATTGTAGTTTGTGTTTTCATGATCCTTTTTGCGAATGCAGTTTTGCGTGAGTAATTTTGTGCATGATTTTGTACTTTTACTTATGTGCGTATCTTTTGTAGCGAGTGTTTTTGTGCACGTTTCTTGATGCGCATTCGTGTCCTCGAACTGTAGCGGGTATTTTCATGATCGCTGTTGGAATCCAATTTTGACCATGTTCGAGTCCGAATTTGGAAATTTGACATTAGACAGGAATTGTAGCCAGCTGAAATAGCTTTCTAATGCCGCCGGAACCAGTCGATTTGGAGTCCGGATGAGAAAGTTATGCTCGACTTCGTGGACACTACCGAAGATGTTGCGGGATCCTCTCTTCTAATTTGATTTTATTTTCCTAATTGCAACTCTTTTCTTACTCTTTCATCATTTTTGCTTCATGGACACCTAATTATCAATTTGTACCTATAGAATACTAAATTCACCAATTAAAACAGAAATATAAATAAATCAATAAAAAAATAAACGTAAACGTAAACGTTGAGTGTTATTTCTACACTCCACTGTATCTTTTGTATCTTGTGTTTTTGTTGTTGTTTGGTTATGCGTATTAAAGTCCTAGTGTTGTATTTCGTGTTTTTAAGAACGTTGTAGCGAATGCACTTTTGCGCATGTTTTTTAACATGTACGTTTGTGCATGTCCATTCGAGCGAGTGTGTTTGTGCATGTTTGTTGATTTGTATTAATGTCCTAGGATTGTAGTTTGTGTTTTCATGATCCTTTTTGCGAATGCAGTTTTGCGTGAGTAATTTTGTGCATGATTTTGTACTTTTACTTATGTGCGTATCTTTTGTAGCGAGTGTTTTTGTGCACGTTTCTCGATGCGCATTCGTGTCCTCGAACTGTAGCGGGTATTTTCATGATCGCTGTTGGAATCCAATTTTGACCATGTTCGAGTCCGAATTTGGAAATTTGACATTAGACAAGAACTGTAGCCAGCTGAAATAGCTTTCTAATGCCGCAAGAACTAGTCGATTTGGAGTCCGGATGAGAAAGTTATGCTCGACTTCGTGGACACTACCGAAGATGTTGCGGGATCCTCTCTTCTAACTTGATTTTATTTCCCTAATTGCAACTCTTTTCTTACTCTTTCATCATTTTTGCTTCATGGACACCTAATTATCAATTTGTACCTATAGAATACTAAATCCACCAATTAAAACAGAAATATAAATAAATCAATAAATAAATAAACGTAAACGTAAACGTTGAGTGTTATTTCTACACTCCACTGTATCTTTTGTATCTTGTGTATTTGTTGTTGTTTGGTTATGCGTATTAAAGTCCTAGTGTTGTATTTAGTGTTTTTAAGAACGTTGTAGCGAATGCACTTTTGCACATGTTTTTTAACATGTACGTTTGTGCATGTCCATTCGAGCGAGTGTGTTTGTGCATGTTTGTTGATTTGTATTAATGTCCTAGGATTGTAGTTTGTGTTTTCATGATCCTTTTTGCGAATGCAGTTTTGCGTGAGTAATTTTGTGTATGATTTTGTACTTTTACTTATGTGCGTATCTTTTGTAGCGAGTGTTTTTGTGCACGTTTCTTGATGCGCATTCGTGTCCTCGAACTGTAGCGGGTATTTTCATGATCGCTGTTGGAATCCAATTTTGACCATGTTCGAGTCCGAATTTGGAAATTTGACATTAGACAAGAATTGTAGCCAGCTGAAATAGCTTTCTAATGCCGCCGGAACCAGTCGATTTGGAGTCCGGATGAGAAAGTTATGCTCGACTTCGTGGACACTACCGAAGATGTTGCGGGATCCTCTCTTCTAATTTGATTTTATTTTCCTAATTGCAACTCTTTTCTTACTCTTTCATCATTTTTGCTTCATGGACACCTAATTATCAATTTGTACCTATAGAATACTAAATTCACCAATTAAAACAGAAATATAAATAAATCAATAAAAAAATAAACGTAAACGTAAACGTTGAGTGTTATTTCTACACTCCACTGTATCTTTTGTGTATTTGTTGTTGTTTGGTTATGCGTATTAAAGTCCTAGTGTTGTATTTCGTGTTTTTAAGAACGTTGTAGCGAATGCACTTTTGCGCATTTTTTTAACATGTACGTTTGTGCATGTCCATTCGAGCGAGTGTGTTTGTGCATGTTTGTTGATTTGTATTAATGTCCTATAGGGCTTTTGTGACGGATATTTTGTGACAACCTAAATCTGTCACCGTTAGTGACCGAATGAGTGACAGGTATGTGACTGAATGTACTACTAAAATACGGAATTTTTTTATGACCAATATGTGACGAATTTGGGACAGATTTTGTGACAATCGAAACTCAGTCACATTTCGGTCACAAATCTTTTGACGGAAACTGATTCAGTCACAAATTAGCCACAAATTTTCTATGAATAAAACAATTTGATCAATGTCGGTCACAGATCTGTCACAATATCATGCCTGTCACACATCCGTCACATACATTTTGGTCACAAGTCTGTCACATTTTATGTTTCGTCATTAATCCATCACTATGTTTATCTGGTCAGAAATAGTCACATACATTTCAGACACAAGTCCGTGACATTTTATGTTTCATCGTTAATCTGTCACTAAACTAATTGTTGTGTTACTTGTTATTTTAATTTTTATAAATTCACTTTAATACTCCAAAATGAGTAACTTGGAAATATAAATTCAGTTACTTGTGTTTTTATTACTTTTTTTAGTTCTACGAAATAGGAGATTGATTTTTTCGACATTAATTATTTTTTTAGTAAAAAAATTGTTTTGTTCTTAATTGCTTAATTCACTTATATATTTAATAAATTTTTTATGTTCTCAAATATTATTTTGATTCTCTTTTTACAGTTAGTTCTTAAACATATAATTAATTATTTTGAAGACAAACCTTAACTTAAATAAAATATAATATATAAAAGAATCACTTTACCTATTTACAGGCCAGGACATAATTACGCAGCTTTCTTCTAGTTATCTTCCAAGTATTCTTTAATTATTATTAGGATCCTATATTGTTTTAAATATTGCATAATAGCCCTTAGGTAAATTTCCTCCTAACTTCCTAGCCTATAAGCAAGGAAGATTCCTCCTATTTTCCTTCCCAATTTTCTTACGGCAGTTTCCTTCTTCTTCCTAGAGAAGAAACGATCTTCACCCTTCTTCGATGAAAAATCACTCTTCTTCGATGAAAAATCCTCAAAAATTCCCCTTCTTCTCTGGAAGTTTCACATCTAATTAATGGGATTAATTTCCCTACAAAATCCACCAAACCATTAAGAGGATCGGACCCTGGATAACTCTACAGCCTCCAAGTTCAGCCCCAAAAGCCTTCAAGCCAAGCTCTGAGAATCCTTCGGTTTACTCTTCCTCTTTGTCTTCGATTTTCTTCAAAGAGGTAAGGACTTTTGATCTTTACTGAATTAATGATAAATAATAAGATTATGTTTATGTGTTTAATTGATTTATATGTTTAGGAATCAGATTTAGGGATCTAGGTCAAGAAATATAGATTTCCATAAACCCTAATTCGAATTTCAGATTCGTAGCCTCCGCTTTCGGTGCATGTTTCATCGATGATTTATTTTCCGAAAATTATGAAATTAATTGTGCACGTAGATGTTTCTGTTAGCTTCGTTTTGATATATGGTATGCGTAAATTGGAATTGTATTGATCAAGTTATGAACCGTTTTCTGAAACTGCACGATTTCTGAGTCATCTATGAATTATGTGTTAAATTAAATCCTATCTTAGCCCGATTCATGCGATTATAACTGGATATGATTAAAGACTTATAAATCTGATTCTCAGTGAAATTTCATGGTGTTTGGTTGAAGGAATGATTTATTTGGTATTTTTAAATTTGAATGCTCTGTTCTGAAATTCTGCTGGTGTTAGTGTACTGAATTAATTATTTCTCTCACGTGGATAGGTATTTTACTAAACTGTTTTAATAGGGTATAATTAACATATATGTGAACATTGTGTGAAAATTTCATAAGGTTTGTATGTACGGTTTAAGAGATATGAATTTTCAAAGTTGAAATACCAAAGCTGCCAGAATTTCTAACATAGAGTACTATGAATGAAAAGAGTTGTTAGGACGTTATTTAGAGGACATAGTTCTATCTAAGGATACCTCTCAATGGATTTAGGACCGATAAGAGTATAGGTTCATTTAAGTAATTTGAAGTTCATTATTAAGGTATAATTGTAAATTGTTTTGAAACCTTGATGTGATTAGATTGCGAAGCTGATACGATTTCTTTATAGTTCTTTGGAATGGAGTATGTGGATTTGAATTTCATGTATTATGTGTGCATGTGTTATTATGGTTATGTCTATATGTGCTACAATTATTGGGTCGTTGCATCCCCATGTTAATTCAACATTTTGTTTACGTGAGTAAACCTTGTGAGTATACGAACTTATCAGGTATCTCAAATGATTCATTAGTAACTTTTCAACGTTCGTTTTAATTATGTCAATACAATGCAGTTATTTACTTGTAGTTGTGGACTTCTCCTTTTAATTAACAGAGTTATGTGGATGGGGATGGGAAACAAGATGAAATTGTTGATCAGGGTTGAGGAGAACGTGATGGAGAGGAAGATAGATACTAAGGCCATGGCTTGTCGATATTGAAGGCAGATATTGAAGGCAGATAGAGAAGAGTGGTGTTAGGAATGTGACCTGAAAATTGAGGGCACAAGAGATGGCAGTGATTCAGAAAAGAGAGGAGGAATACAAACGAGTTTAGAGCTAAGAAGAGATTGTGTTTTCTATAAATAAGATATTTATGTTTTGTAATTCATAACAGATTCTTAGCACTAGATACTACTAGCCAAATGATGCTCTGAAAGATTGGAAACGATATGATTTTGTTTTAATATATTTATGCTTTGTGATTTTGTTTTAATATATTTATGCTTTGTGATTTTTTGTTGATTGTTTATCAAAAAAAAATGTAGTAAAATAAAGAGAACAAAACAATTATGGTGCTATTGTGACGAGAAAAGTGACTGATATTTGTGACAACCAATGTGACGGATTGCTTGTGACTGAATTTTGACGGAACACGAAGCATGTGACGGAGTATTTGTGATGATATTTATGACAGATGAATGACGGAACCTTGTGACAGATTAATGACATACAAAAATTATTTATGACGGGATCCGTCACTAAATTTAGGGGAGTTCGATAAGGTATTTGTGACAGAATGTTCCGTCACCAAAGTGTGACGGATTGAAAAAAACCGTCACTATTTTAATTAGTGACGAGGCGTTTTCTCACGGACGAATTCCGTCACACCTCCGTCACCAAAGCCTGTTTGTGACGGATTTTCCTCAATTCAGTGACAAAAATCTCTGTCACAAAAGCCCATATTTTTGGTAGTGGCTAGGATTGTAGTTTGTGTTTTCATGATCCTTTTTGCGAATGCAATTTTGCGTGAGTAATTTTGTGCATGATTTTGTACTTTTACTTATGTGCGTATCTTTTGTAGAGAGTGTTTTTGTGCACGTTTCTCGATGCGCATTCGTGTCCTCGAACTGTAGCGGGTATTTTCATGATCGCTGTTGGAATCCAATTTTGACCATGTTCGAGTCCGAATTTGGAAATTTGACATTAGACAGGAACTGTAGCCAGCTGAAATAGCTTTCTAATGCCGCCGGAACCAGTCGATTTGGAGTCCGGATGAGAAAGTTATGCTCGACTTCGTGGACACTACCGAAGATGTTGCGGGATCCTCTCTTCTAATTTGATTTTATTTTCCTAATTGCAACTCTTTTCTTACTCTTTCATCATTTTTGCTTCATGGACACCTAATTATCAATTTGTACCTATAGAATACTAAATCCACCAATTAAAACAGAAATATAAATAAATCAATAAAAAAATAAACGTAAACGTAAACGTTGAGTGTTATTTCTACACTCCATTGTATCTTTTGTATCTTGTGTAATTGTTGTTGTTTGGTTATGCGTATTAAAGTCCTAGTGTTGTATTTCGTGTTTTTAAGAACGTTGTAGCGAATGCACTTTTGCGCATGTTTTTTAACATGTACGTTTGTGCATGTCCATTCGAGCGAGTGTGTTTGTGCATGTTTGTTGATTTGTATTAATGTCCTAGGATTGTAGTTTGTGTTTTCATGATCCTTTTTGCGAATGCAGTTTTGCGTGAGTAATTTTGTGCATGATTTTGTACTTTTACTTATGTGCGTATCTTTTGTAGCGAGTGTTTTTGTGCACGTTTCTTGATGCGCATTCGTGTCCTCGAACTGTAGCGGGTATTTTCATGATCGCTGTTGGAATCCAATTTTGACCATGTTCGAGTCCGAATTTGGAAATTTGACATTAGACAGGAATTGTAGCCAGCTGAAATAGCTTTCTAATGCCGCCGGAATCAGTCGATTTGGAGTCCGGATGAGAAAGTTATGCTCGACTTCGTGGACACTACCGAAGATGTTGCGGGATCCTCTCTTCTAATTTGATTTTATTTTCCTAATTGCAACTCTTTTCTTACTCTTTCATCATTTTTGCTTCATGGACACCTAATTATCAATTTGTACCTATAGAATACTAAATCCACCAATTAAAACAGAAATATAAATAAATCAATAAAAAAATAAACGTAAACGTAAACGTTGAGTGTTATTTCTACACTCCACTGTATCTTTTGTATCTTGTGTATTTGTTGTTGTTTGGTTATGCGTATTAAAGTCCTAGTGTTGTATTTCGTGTTTTTAAGAACGTTGTAGCGAATGCACTTTTGCGCATGTTTTTTAACATGTACGTTTGTGCATGTCCATTCGAGCGAGTGTGTTTGTGCATGTTTGTTGATTTATATTAATGTCCTAGGATTGTAGTTTGTGTTTTCATGATCCTTTTTGCGAATGCAGTTTTGCGTGAGTAATTTTGTGCATGATTTTGTACTTTTACTTATGTGCGTATCTTTTGTAGCGAGTGTTTTTGTGCACGTTTCTTGATGCGCATTCGTGTCCTCGAACTGTAGCGGGTATTTTCATGATCGCTGTTGGAATCCAATTTTGACCATGTTCGAGTCCGAATTTGGAAATTTGACATTAGACAGGAATTGTAGCCAGCTGAAATAGCTTTCTAATGCCGCCGGAACCAGTCGATTTGGAGTCCGGATGAGAAAGTTATGCTCGACTTCGTGGACACTACCGAAGATGTTGCGGGATCCTCTCTTCTATTTTGATTTTATTTTCCTAATTGCAACTCTTTTCTTACTCTTTCATCATTTTTGCTTCATGGACACCTAATTATCAATTTGTACCTATAGAATACTAAATTCACCAATTAAAACAGAAATATAAATAAATCAATAAAAAAATAAACGTAAACGTAAACGTTGAGTGTTATTTCTACACTCCACTGTATCTTTTGTGTATTTGTTGTTGTTTGGTTATGCGTATTAAAGTCCTAGTGTTGTATTTCGTGTTTTTAAGAACGTTGTAGCGAATGCACTTTTGCGCATTTTTTTAACATGTACGTTTGTGCATGTCCATTCGAGCGAGTGTGTTTGTGCATGTTTGTTGATTTGTATTAATGTCCTAGGATTGTAGTTTGTGTTTTCATGATCCTTTTTGCGAATGCAATTTTGCGTGAGTAATTTTGTGCATGATTTTGTACTTTTACTTATGTGCGTATCTTTTGTAGAGAGTGTTTTTGTGCACGTTTCTCGATGCGCATTCGTGTCCTCGAACTGTAGCGGGTATTTTCATGATCGCTGTTGGAATCCAATTTTGACCATGTTCGAGTCCGAATTTGGAAATTTGACATTAGACAGGAACTGTAGCCAGCTGAAATAGCTTTCTAATGCCGCCGGAACCAGTCGATTTGGAGTCCGGATGAGAAAGTTATGCTCGACTTCGTGGACACTACCGAAGATGTTGCGGGATCCTCTCTTCTAATTTGATTTTATTTTCCTAATTGCAACTCTTTTCTTACTCTTTCATCATTTTTGCTTCATGGACACCTAATTATCAATTTGTACCTATAGAATACTAAATCCACCAATTAAAACAGAAATATAAATAAATCAATAAAAAAATAAACGTAAACGTAAACGTTGAGTGTTATTTCTACACTCCACTGTATCTTTTGTATCTTGTGTTTTGTTGTTGTTTGGTTATGCGTATTAAAGTCCTAGTGTTGTATTTCGTGTTTTTAAGAACGTTGTAGCGAATGCACTTTTGCGCATGTTTTTTAACATGTACGTTTGTGCATGTCCATTCGAGCGAGTGTGTTTGTGCATGTTTGTTGATTTGTATTAATGTCCTAGGATTGTAGTTTGTGTTTTCATGATCCTTTTTGCGAATGCAGTTTTGCGTGAGTAATTTTGTGCATAATTTTGTACTTTTACTTATGTGCGTATCTTTTGTAGCGAGTGTTTTTGTGCACGTTTCTTGATGCGCATTCGTGTCCTCGAACTGTAGCGGGTATTTTCATGATCGCTGTTGGAATCCAATTTTGACCATGTTCGAGTCCGAATTTGGAAATTTGACATTAGACAGGAATTGTAGCCAGCTGAAATAGCTTTCTAATGCCGCCGGAACCAGTCGATTTGGAGTCCGGATGAGAAAGTTATGCTCGACTTCGTGGACACTACCGAAGATGTTGCGGGATCCTCTCTTCTAATTTGATTTTATTTTCCTAATTGCAACTCTTTTCTTACTCTTTCATCATTTTTGCTTCATGGACACCTAATTATCAATTTGTACCTATAGAATACTAAATCCACCAATGAAAACAGAAATATAAATAAATCAATAAAAAAATAAACGTAAACGTAAACGTTGAGTGTTATTTCTACACTCCACTGTATCTTTTGTATCTTGTGTATTTGTTGTTGTTTGGTTATGCGTATTAAAGTCCTAGTGTTGTATTTCGTGTTTTTAAGAACGTTGTAGCGAATGCACTTTTGCGCATATTTTTTAACATGTACGTTTGTGCATGTCCATTCGAGCGAGTGTGTTTGTGCATGTTTGTTGATTTATATTAATGTCCTAGGATTGTAGTTTGTGTTTTCATGATCCTTTTTGCGAATGCAGTTTTGCGTGAGTAATTTTGTGCATGATTTTGTACTTTTACTTATGTGCGTATCTTTTGTAGCGAGTGTTTTTGTGCACGTTTCTTGATGCGCATTCGTGTCCTCGAACTGTAGCGGGTATTTTCATGATCGCTGTTGGAATCCAATTTTGACCATGTTCGAGTCCGAATTTGGAAATTTGACATTAGACAGGAATTGTAGCCAGCTGAAATAGCTTTCTAATGCCGCCGGAACCAGTCGATTTGGAGTCCGGATGAGAAAGTTATGCTCGACTTCGTGGACACTACCGAAGATGTTGCGGGATCCTCTCTTCTATTTTGATTTTATTTTCCTAATTGCAACTCTTTTCTTACTCTTTCATCATTTTTGCTTCATGGACACCTAATTATCAATTTGTACCTATAGAATACTAAATTCACCAATTAAAACAGAAATATAAATAAATCAATAAAAAAATAAACGTAAACGTAAACGTTGAGTGTTATTTCTACACTCCACTGTATCTTTTGTGTATTTGTTGTTGTTTGGTTATGCGTATTAAAGTCCTAGTGTTGTATTTCGTGTTTTTAAGAACGTTGTAGCGAATGCACTTTTGCGCATTTTTTTAACATGTACGTTTGTGCATGTCCATTCGAGCGAGTGTGTTTGTGCATGTTTGTTGATTTGTATTAATGTCCTAGGATCGTAGTTTGCGTTTTCACGATCCCCTTTGCGAATGCAGTTTTGCGTGAGTAATTTTGTGCATGATTTTGTACTTTGACTTATGTGCGTATCTTTTGTAGCGAGTGTTTTTGTGCACGTTTCTTGATGCGCATTCGTGTCCTCGAACTGTAGCGGGTATTT